TTTAAAAGGCGCTGTCCGACAACTCATCACTGTCCCACTTTGTTCGCTGTGTGACTAAAGCTAGACAAGAAAGTCATTACGTGAAGGATATTGGTAAACAAGGTCTGTTGCAACAAATGCAATGCTAGTCAAGAATCACCCTACTCGCCCAGCTACATGTTTGGGTTCATATATCGAAGCAAAAAGAGGAGAGATGTCTGATCCAACCGGATAAAGTCAAATTTAAACAGGCTCTTAGTGCAATATTGCTATCAGACTAACTCAAGTTCTAAGGAGTTTCTTTTAAATACGAAGCAATACCGCTTCCGATTGCCTCTGTGGTCGATAATAGAGTAGTACAGGTCATCGTCGTTTCAAAGGTGCCGGCTGCATGACCTGGAATGCATGTTCGTTTACTGCAACCATCTAGTTCAGTCAATAATAGACTCAGCATTTGAGTTCAATTTCTTCCAGCCATCATTCGAGTACACTAAGTTTTGCTTGTCTACTCTAGCAGACAAAAACTTTTTCGCGCTACCAAAATACTGTGCTCCGCGTGAAACTGAGGCCAGAACTTTTGGTTCAGTTTGTGACTTGAAGCGAACCTAATGACGGAGAGGAAAGCTCAAATGCTGTTTGCTGGCTATGTGCATCAAATCCAAGGTGTGCCTTGATCCCCAGGACACCTGATTTCTTGATAAAATTTCTTTTAAATAGAAGCACGTTCAACAGGTGAGTTTCAAGTTTGCATATGAATAAATCTACCAAAAAGAACCAAAAGAGATCCCATTGCAACTTTTTGTGTGGATTCCTCTAAGGAGCCAGGTAAAATGTAGTACTCTTTTCTCAGAGTTTGCAAAGGAATACCGATATCATTGTCACCGCACTCAGTCAAATTTCGCAAGGATACACTGAGCGTTTTCACCCATAATATCTGCGCTCTTAATCAGCAAGTACTCAGAAAGAGGTAGGCATCTGGATATGACCGACCTCGAGACTCCTTGTTCTACTTTGATGTTCTAGTCGTCAACGTCGAAATGCCATCCTAGTATCTGAGTATCTGTGATGGTAGATTGAGTACGCGGGATTGCAGCCAATAGATATTCAGGATATCAAATAAGCAGACGAAGACCGCAGGCACATTACTTTCACATTC